AACTGATCTGGCACATCAGCCTGTATTACTAGTTAAACCCACTGACAGCCACAGAGCTGGACACTTAATTTTTAAAAGTTTGAGAATTATGTGCTTTTTTATCCTCTCTTTTTTATAGAAACATTGCTGAACAGATTAAGAAGTAATGCATTTACAACGTTTATTGGACAACAGTTTTAGAAGGCAACATGCACAATAAAAGATTATATAGTGTGTATTTAGCACTTCACTATACATTTACTACCATGAAGATATTTACAAGATGTTTTGAGCTCTATTTTTAAAAGGTCCATTTTGACTTAACAAGGCAGCAGATAGTTTTCAAAGTTCCAGAAAGCTTTTAACTTGAGTGAGAAGGTAAAAAAACTGACTGTCAAAGCCAGGTCAATTTAAAATGAAAACATCTTCAAATTTGTTAACTGAGACTTTCTGACTTGAGTTGAAAACACAAAATTCCTTTACTGTGTTCAAAGACACAACAGTGCAAAAAATCTGTTTAAATTGAAAAATCCTCACCTTCATTTCTATAACCCCACAGTCCACAATCAACCTGAAACCAAAAGGTCCCACAAGTCATAACACAAAGAAGCAAGTGATGAGGAATTAAACTATTCAGCCACACAGGATTATACTGACATTAAAAAAAAAATAACCTCACGTAAATGTGTCCATCCATATGAAACTACAGAAGTGATTATTCCTGTATGCCAAATGAAAGTGTAATCTGTTTTTCTTTTGAAGAAGAGATACATTTGTATTTTGATCAAGATTGCAGCACATGCTCCCTGCACTCACAGGATGGGCTGGCCAACTATATATTTTCTGTAAGGTCATATCCAAAAGAGGGACTGCTTGAAAAACCACATTTGACAGTCATCTGTCAGAAAAAAAACATCACCCTCACATCTCCAAAATCCTAACTTGCCCTAAACATTATTTATGAGTGAACAAGAGTGCACCTTTCAGAATTTCACACAATGAAAAGAAGGCCCTGGCAGTTTAAAACAAATTAGGTTAAAAATAAACTAAATTAATAATTAAGTTGACTTTGTAGTTTCAAGCAGCTTTTGTTTAGGGTTGGAAATATCAGAAGGCACTGAAAGCAAAGCTACCTCATGCTTCCCGTGACAAATCTGCCTGCCACAATTGTATCATTTGCTGTGACTCAGCACTATGGAAGATATGTGTGCAAACCAACAAAATAACAGTAAGTCAAAATTCTACTGATTTCATCCTAGCTTTGGACATCAGCAATGAAGGAGTCACACAGCACTGAGGTAACAGCCACATCAAGCCAAAACCCACAGGCACTTCAAAGCTTAGTTCAGTTGAAGAAAGGATCATGTGGAAGCTCTACAAAGAATCTCTGTGTCTATTAAGAGGCAATCTCACCCTACTTCAGACAAAAACCACAACAATCTAATGTTAATCACAACTTTACTATTGGACTTTACTTACAGATACTTACAGTTTGTGATCCACTAATAGGTGGCTTGTTTGCCCATTTTCATAATTCAACAGGTGAATTTGCTTTCAAGTGTTACCTTAGCACTAAATTTGATAGCTTACAAAGCCTTGTTTCAATCAAGATATGTTCAGGATGTTTAGCCACAGGGTATTTGTTTTATGGTTTTAGAAGCAGCACATCACTTATATATAATCTCAACTTTATATAAAATAAAATAAAGATCTGTGTGTGTCAAACCAGTTGGTATCACAGAACATACGAATCCTCCTGCTGAGCCTGACAAGCACTCTGAACTACCAACAAAAACAGAAAAACAGAGAAAATAAATACTGTGGATCACAAGGAAGCTGTTGGCAGCAGGTGACTGACTAAATCTTGTCCTATGTCACACTCTGAAAGCCCAGAGTCCATAACGCTCTACACACACCCAGAACAGTCGTATTTCTTTCAGTTCCAATGAGCTTTAGCGCCTGTCTCCCCATGACACTAAGCAATAATTATGCTTCAATAAAGTGTTCACGTTATTCCAAACCAGATTTCTTCTGTCACTGAACTCCATTTATTCCTGTCTAACATGAAGAGACCAGCAGAAGTGACCCTGTGATGTGCAGTCTACCACAACTTTCTAACACTTTTTCATACCTTCCTGCTACTAACATCCTTTATAAATCAATTCTGGTGAAACAAAATTTACTGACACCTGTCTTAGACTACACCTACTTTTTATCCTCAAAATGAATTATAAAGGCTGCACAATGTTTAATGCAATTTAAGACATTCAGGAGGTGGCATAATATCATTTCCAGTTCTGCTGGTCTACAGATTTCATATTCAGTGGAGGTTTTTAGAGTGTTTAGCTTAAAATTACCTCTTCTGTTTTTCTACAGTCCCTTTACCTTGTCCACAATAATTTAAAAGTACTGATATTTCTACAGGCCTTGCATTCCACTGCTGGCTTGAAAACCCCACACTTATTCTTGGAAGTAACACCGAGCAGTTTAATCCACTTACTTGCTTAACAGACTTTAAAAACTGTAACAGACGAGGGGTTTTTTTCTTCATAGTAGAAAAAAAAATGACTTCCTATCATAATGCTGCCTCTATTCTCTGCAATTTACATCACCATTTCTTTTTTAGTATTATTATATTATTTAAACAAGTACATCCATTATGCTTTCACCCCTTAGTATGAAGCTGAATAATTTTTCTATCAGTTCAGCTTCCACTTGTTCTCTGAAAAAGAGGTGGTCTGGTCTTTCTAACTTGTTTGCCCATTACATCATTCCAGAACCTCCAGTACAGATATTTCAGCCACTCAGAATATTTCATCAAGTGTGTAATTCCTTTAATGTCTTTTATTTTTCTTGACTTGCTCAGAGCCTACCAGGCTCACTCACTATTCCCTTTGGCCTTCAGAAGTATTTAAACAAATGCAATAAATTAAGCTATTTGCTGCTGCCCTTCTATTTCTCTTATGTTGCAAATTAACATTAAAGCCCCTAGCCCTAAATCACATCACTCAGGTTTTTTTATGTGCTATATGCTATTTTGGAAAAACTAGATTTCAGTTTTTCAGGGAGGCACTGGTTTACATCCATCAACCTCTTGCCATAGAAGTTAAATTTTGCAACTTAAGAACTTTTTTAGTTGCCTTTAAAGGTACACTCTTGTGCTCTTAAAGACAGAAATTAAGCCCCCTCAATAACTTGTGAAACACTTCAGAAGAAAAAATTCACAACCCAGGGGAGGGACAAACAGAAAGATTTTAAAGCAAGCCTGCAGAAACAGGACCGTAAAATAAAATGTACCATTCTATTAACATTACCTTATTCAACAGAAGGGGAGGAAATAAAAAAATTTAAAAAATAGTAAAGAGCACTGTACAAAAACACTGAAGCTGAAATAAGACTATCAAATAACCTGCTTAAATAAACATTTACACTTAAAAGTTTCTATAAAGAACCTTTCAGAAACTGCTACAACTGACTGTAGGAGTTTTTAGTTCTCGTGGTGACTTGGGCCAGTGCTGCTGCCATGGGCTGCCTTTCCCTTTCCAAATGGACTAAACTGGGACTTCTCCAGGAGCCAGCACTCAGCTGAATATACAGGACCACATGAGCATGCCAGCTCTGAAGTCATCAACGCAGAGAAGACAACATAGAAAAAATCAGCACATGGCAGGGACACTGACAGCAAGAGGTGAACGCCCTGGTACGGTGTCAGCGTGAGAGATGGGATGTAACAAAGACTCTGCTTTGAAATTGGGGGTCAGTGGGGGATGCCAAGGGCCCAAAACAGTCACATCTCTCAGAAGTGAAGCATCACTGAATCTGTTTGAAAGACTGTGACAAGAAAATCCATGACGAGAAAAATCTCCACCTCATGTGTCATCTAAAGTTAGGGTGCCTCAAGCTACGATTCCTTTCCCCTGTGCCTATGGGTATGTCTAAAGGGTAATTAAAAGGTGCAACCACAGCTCAAGTAGAAACTTCAAAACTTGTTTTGAATGAGTTAGTTCACATGTCAATGCAGGTGGTAACACTGAAAGGAGAACACAATGAAGTTACAATAAAAACAAGGCCAAATACACAAAAGATCAGCTTGATACAATCTATTAATTTACACAGTGCTTCATTAACAGCTGGGGGGAATTCTACGCTAACTACTAACTGCCAGAGGTATATCCAAAATAGCATTAAAATAAAGACCTTCTGAGGATAAAGTTGCAATCCCATTTCCTGAGAGCTCATTGACATATCCCAACTTTGTTAAGTCTGTCATTAACATCAAGCAGTCAGAGCAGAAAATACGCCAGCAAACAAAAAAAATCCAGAGGAACAGCAGCTTGAATAAAGGATAAAGGGACCATTAAACACCACCATTCAGCACCATTTGGGAATTCTGCAGAAACAGCAGCCCGCTATTTTCACAGCTCATGACGTATCTTTTCAGCCCGGTGTTTCATTTTCATGAAACGCCCTCAAGAGACAAAGTTTAAAATCATTGTTACAGAGACCGCGCTACGGGCAACACAGATTTAGAGACTATGAATGGGACAAGTTTCTGTTGCATACAAAGTCTCTGGAACAGGATAACTAGAAACGGCCACCCAGCGCTAACCTTCCATCGTATACAGGCAGCCAAAGAAATAACATTTTAGGTGAGATAATGCGAGGCTACGGGGTGATATTTGCAGGGAGATGGCAGAGCTTTCTTAAATCAACTAACACCACATGGGATAAAAAAAAAAAAAAAAAAGCTTGGAAGATCCAGGAGAAAGTTTCCCTTCCCCTCCACGGAATCGATCAGGTTGGAAAAGAGCTCTCAGATCACCGAGTCCAATTGTGACCCAACACCACCATGCGAAACAGACCACGGCACTCAGTGCCACATCCAGTCCTTCCTCAAACACCTCCAGGGACGGCGACTCCACCATCTCCTTGGGCAGCCCATTCCAATGCTTAACCACGCTTCTCCTGAAGAGATTCCTCCTGATGTCCAAGCTAAACCTCCCCTGGCTCAGCTTACGACGATGTCCTCTCGTCCAGCCGATGCCCTGCCTCTGCTCGCAGCCCGTCCCGCGGTGGGAGCAGCGGCACCGGGGCCATCCCGTCCCCGCGGCACGGAGTTGCCCGACTCCGCGCAGCCAACCACGGTCACTTCCGAAGCCGGCGCTTTGGAAGCCAAAGAGAGTCCCTCCAGCCACGAGGAGCCTGTCCCCGGGCAGAGCAGCACCGGCCCGCCTCTCCCCAGTTCCCCCGCCAGCTGCGGGTCCGGGTCCCGGTCCCGGTCCCGATCCCGGCCCACGCGCGCGCCGCTCCCGCCGCGCCGGCCCCGGCCCCGGCCCCGGCCCCGCCCCGCGCGCGGCCCCCGCGCGCCTGTTGCACGCGCGCGCGCACGGGCCGGGGGTTCGCGAGAGGGCTCCCGCCGCGCGCGGCACCCCCGGCCCGGGCCTCCCCTCCCCCCCCGCCACAACCCGAGCCGCCGGCAGCCGATCCCCGCCCGGTCCCTCCTCTCGCGGGGACGCGGCCCCGCGCACCGCCCGGCTGCCATCACGCTCGCTCCGCCGGAGCCGAGGTAACGGGCCTCCCCCCCGCCCCCGTACCTGCTGCCGGCCCGGCGCGGCACCGCGCTGTCTCCTCTCGGGCCCGAGGCGCGCGAGCGCCGCTCCCTCCCTGCCTCCCTCCTTCCCTCCCTGCCTGCCCGGCGCTGGCTGGCAGCGGCACTGCGCACGCGCGGGGCGCGCCGCGGCGCCCTCTGGGAGGAAGAGCCCTTCCGGCGAGGCCGGCCGGCGGCGGCGGCGCCCTCCTCAGGACGGCGCGGCCCCGAAGGAAAGACTACGGCTCCCGGCAAGCAGCGCGCGCCCCCGCGCGGGCGCGCCTCTCCCGCCACGGGGCACGCCGGGAGTTGTAGTGCGACGGGCGGTGGCGCCGTGCCCGGGAGGGTTTGGGGAGAGGGGAGGAGGCGCCCCGTCCCTTCCCCGCCTGAGGGGCGGTGGCGGCGGCCGCCCGGGAGTGTCGTGTGCTGGGACACGGAGGTGGCGGTGGCTATGGCGCAGCAGCCGCCAATGTCACCGCGGTGTTAGGCCCCAACGCGCCGCCCGCCAGCGCCGCCGCCAGGGAGCTGAAGCGCTGAAAGGGGCAGGGATGTTCCCAGGGCTGTTACGGCCCAGGATAGTGCAGCAGGCTGATGGTTCTACTTTAATTAATGCAGGTCCCCTAGCGGTGGCCTCGGTGCCACCGCAGACCGCGTCACTGCGGGTGCGGCAAGCAGCGGAGCCATTTCGCTGTGCCACGGGCGGTGCCACGGGCGATGCCGCGTCCGCCTCGGACACAGCGGCGGCCGCGGGCAGGACAGGCTGCTGGTCAGCCACGGTGTACGGTGCGACAGACACGTACATGAGATTGTGTGGCACCAGCGGGCCCGCACACCCTCAGAGGAGCACAGGGTGACGAGGGCAGGAGGGGGAGCCCAAGCAGCACCGGCCAGGCTGCTTCCAGGCCCGTCCCAGGAGCATCAGCCCAATAAAGGCCCGTTTTGAGGGGCACAGGAGCACAGTGGCGGGTGGGAACCCAAATTAAGGACTCAGAGAAAGGAATACCCTGTCCAGCCCCATCCCAGGAGCCTCAGCCCCCGAGCACCTTTAGGATTAGGGGTGTAGCTGTCTTCAGAAGTTTGGGATACAGGACGAAATGCAGGGGAAGAGCATTTGGGGATTGCACAGGACTCATTAGGGAATGATTAGGGCAGGAACCAGGGGTGATCTAGGTCACACAGAGAAACAAATATAGCATACAGGAATAAAAAGGGCCAGTCATGTGTCAATGGTTTGTGATGATTTGTCCACGTCCTGCACCTGATCAGTGCAGCCTGTCGGGTCTCCTCATTAAACTCCTTTTGCACTTTGCCCTGCGTGAGGAACTCGTGGTCAGGGCACCACAGGGAGCTGCTGCTGGGGGCTGGAGAGGCCGGGATTGAGGGGCAGCCACTGGGCACTGCCTGAGCCCAGCTGCTGGAAGGAGACACCCTGTACACGTGTGTAAATACTTCTGTAAATACACAGAGGCTCACTAGGGCACCTCTGTCCTGCTCAGCTGGAGCAGAGAGTGGGATGAGGCTGCCAGTGCTGAGTGGGAGGGCTCTGCATGGATGGATGTGTAATCTGTGTCCATATGCATTTGCTTAATTGCTGCATGTGTGAATTTGTGCATGTGCCTGTAGGGAATACAAACTCTGTCTGGCTATTGCTTGGACATGGGCATGGGGCTGCAGCAGCCTCACCTCTCTCAGGCTACCAGATCTCAGATCATTTTGCCACAGCAATAGATACATATATTTGTGTACATACACACACTGGTGTATTTCATGGGGCTTCATATCGAAGCACAGCATTTCTACCCATTGAATTGAGATAAGATAGATTAAAGCAGTCAGGCAACAGCTTTCTCCCAAAGCATTTGCCCAAAAAAAAAAAAAAAAACAAAAAAAAAACAACACCAAAACACCAGTTCTGCTTTTCTTTCAGGGATTTCACATTTCTTGTACCCTACCTAAGCACATCTGTAATGCAGCAGGAGGTCTGGTTACAGTATTGGCTGGCATTCCTGATATACCTTGAATCAAATTAGCACAGTTATGGGTGGCAGCAGAGATCTTCAGGTTCTCCTGGTTTTGATGAAAGTCTGGTTTCAGGTGCAACGGAGCTAATGCAATGCAGGTACAAGGATGAATTCCTGTTTCCTGTCTCTCTGCTCTTCTGCTCCCTTCTCCCCACCAAGTACATATTTTCAGGCATGATGAACTATGTTCATTCTGCATGTCTTGTGATAACCTACCTAACAGTCACCACAGATGACTCCTTTTTGGATCACAGTCATCACCTGCAGGCAAGGATTTGCAAAACTTGTGTGGGGTGAGGCTGTGAGGCAGCCTACCAGAGAGAGAAGCAGGTCTAGGCTGTCTGGGTCTGTGTGGTCACAGAGCAAGGCATGAAAACAGCAAAAAACACCACCAGAGTTCCGGCTGTCTGAAAGCAGAGATACCTGAGACCAGGCTGACATCAGGTGCAGGTAAAATTAAGACAGAAGGTAGCTTCATTTCTGACAACAACTTCTGAAGCTCTGAGAGTTTTTTGTAATCTGAGTTAATTCAGCTGGAGGGAATTTACTCTTAAACCAATACACAATTTTGAGCAGAATTTTTCTTCATGCAAAAGCGAGGCACACCCTCAGCATGTTTTTAAACACAGCCTGAAAAGATGACAACAACAGTGAAGGCTGACAAATGACCCTGAGCTGGGGGAGGAAGAGTGGAAGTGGACAGAGTAAACAGATCAGCCATCATGCTGTGATTGGGTTAAATTTGAGTTTAGGCAAAATACCCCTGGCTCTTGTTTTCCCCAGTGCAATGGGATGCCAGAAAATGGTATCACGATAATGCAGCCCTTTCTAAAAAAGGCCACGGAGCCAGACTGCTGACCATATTTAGCTCTACTAAGTTGCAATTGGCACCAGCAAGCCTTGGTTGTCACCCACTGACATTTTGTTCAGCCCTAAAAATGAAAACAGTTGCCTGCAATGTTTCAAGCCATGAGAGTCACTGAGGACTCACAGATGGGAAAGAGAAAGATAAGGCAAAGTATCAAGTTCATCATGATTTAGGATCTCAAGGCCACCACAGCCAAAAGGGTTGTTCTGTGTTTCTGAGGCAGTGAGAGGTAGCAGCAAACAGCAGCAGGGTCACAAGGGATGTCTGCAGCCACATGGGGTGAGCACCCCCCAGGGAGGAGCAGCACCTGCCCCATCTGCACCCCTGAACCTCACTGGCATGGAGGACCTGTCCATACTCACCATCAGTATGAAGTGCTCACCATGGGAGTCACTGTGACATGCTTTGATGGGTCCATGCCTGCAGTAAAGCTTGACTGCTCTCCTTTGCTTTGCCAGGTTTGGCTGAGGAAGGGTGGTGCTGGGAGCTCTACCCTCGGGCTTACTCTTGGTGGCTGGTGGGACTTTTTCACTGTGCAGTGGAGAGATTGAAGCCTGGGAGTCTCCTGGGGGTCCCTAGAAGGAGGGCAGGCACCTTTGCCCAGCTGCTCAAGTCCGGGCCATTCCCACTTTCCTCTCCTTGTGTCCACCCTGCCTGGACAGATCAGAAAACCACCACTGCTGTCTGTGCCAGCTGCTGCATCCAGTGACAATGGGAACTGGGTGACAATTCCAACTGCAGAAACCACAAACTGGTGTGAGCACCAAGAGGAGTTAAGTTGTCAAGGGCAAACCTCCATCAGAGAGCAGCAGGAAGCTGATACAGAGCTGGGGAAGGGGTTTGATCTTTTCCTCTCATGCAGGGGACACAGACTGCTATTGGTTCTGCCTCTCCACTTGTCTGCAAAGTATCACTCCAGGAATGACAGAGTTAACAAATACAGTGGAGGAGACAGCTCTGTAAGCTGAGCTACGTGGTCACATGCACAGGTTTTATTTTTAACATCCCAAAACTACTTGATGTTTCTGCCTGGGCTTGCTCCGTGTCCTTCTGTTCTCTTCTCTTTCTTTGTGTGCAGTTCTCCTTCACCCACCTCACTTCAGCCCAGCTGAGCACAACCAGGAGAGAAGTGTTTGGTACGTGCACAGGGACTCTATGATCAAGGTAAGGCTTTGTAAATAGAGTTGGAGGTTTTTTTGGACAAACCTTGATGGAATGTAATGGTTACTATAGCAAGCTATAAAAATCAAGACATCTTCAAAACAGCCTTAGTAATTAAGATGAAATAGAATAATCATGAGATGTCTTAAATGACACTCTAAAACAGAGGCAGCTGGTAACTGTGAGCACTTCTGTGACATACTACTCTAAAAAAAAAAACCCTCCATAATATATTCAGTGAATTAGCTGTAGTTTGCAGCACTGCATGCAAAATGATTGTAAGATGGGAGCTTCAGCAGCAGATCAGATGATAAATCAAAAATTCAATTTCTGTTATTTTCAGGAAACTCAGAGAATACAAGAACATACAGTAAGGGTCAGAGGAAAGGCAAGAGCAATCTTATGGCAAAAGTGCTTATACTTAAAATTAAATGAGTTTTGTAGATTGAGACTGCAAACTTTATGTTGGAAATCTAGACTGAATGAATGACAGAGTAAGAATTGCAAGAGTTAAAGGTACTACTGTACTATTTAGTCTTGTGACTGCTTAGCAATTTTTATTCATTAATCTCTTTTATTTTTATTTTATGACTTAGATCTTAACCAGTAGCTCTGAGTTTCTTTATACTGGGCACCTTTCAGAAAAGTATGTTAATGAGATTGTTACCAGAGCATAAGAACCCGAGTCCAAAGAGAAAAAAAAAAAACAACATGGTTTGGACCATTACCCTCCTTTTTTTTTTTTTTCCTTAAACTGCAACCAAACTGGACCTATTCTTTTAAAGCACCTGTTGAACTCAAACCAAGACCAAACCCATTTCCTAGTTACCAATGCAAAGTGAAATTTTGCTTTACTGTGTCTACCAAGGACAGCACAGGGACCCCTGACAGGTCTGAGGAGCAGCAGAGCAGCTCCATGTCACATCCTGCTGATCTGCCTGTCTCCCACAGGACTCCCCAGCAAGCCCAGCACATGATGCTGGTGCTGAGCTATCCTGCACTATGCCATCAGCCCAGGGGACCATTTCAGCACCTGGAATTTTTGGGTGGGATTCTCTCAGATGAACTATGGCTACATTGCACCAGGTAGGGAGGAGCAAGAAACATTGCTGATCCAGGTGTTTTAGTGGGGAATGCAGTGCAGGGCTCCCACCAGCAGTGCCCTGTGTTACCTGTGCCTCACTGCTCTGAAGTCTCCCTGCTCCTCCTGCAACAGCTTTAGTGCATTTCACCAGACAGAAATTGCACAAGCAAATTTTGGTGCCACTTTACTGCCTGTGTGCAGCACAGATTTTCCAGGCAAGGGGGAGGCCTGATGGTGTAACAGCTTCTCTTGATCTCCATGGTCCTGCATGTCAGGTGTAGGGAGCTGAGGAGAAGCTGATGTGCTGTTCTGAGAACCTAAGCAACAGGCATGCTCCAGAAGAAAGGCAAAGAACATGAATTGAAGTCCTTGCCCAACTGCTGCACTATACTGTGGATTTATTTTTTCAGTATAAAGCAATTCTAACCTGTTCAGCAACTCTGAAATAGTGTTTATTGCCATGGAGCACCACAGCCTCATGCAGATGATACCCAGAAGGAAATACAGGCAGTAGCTCCCTAATTGTCACAGCTTCATCCTTCCATTGTTGGGCTTATCCAACAAGTCAGTTGTTTCACAGAAAATCTTACTCCTCCTCATGTCTTATGCTAAGGATTTGAAGTTCACCAGGATTGTTCTGGAATCAAAGTGCCCCTGTAAAATCCATGTGAACTTGTTCAAGGTCACCTCAAAAGCAGGTCTTGTTTATGCTCACTATTAGTCTTATTGATGAAGATTTCATCTACACCTTTAATTCTCCCTTTCCACCTGCCCTGAGCCGTACCATACTCACTGCCTGCCTCATTTAAGCTTGGCTGGCAGTGAGTATTGTACAAGGTCAGTCTGAAATGGCAACTGCAGAGCAGGAGTGCCATCAAGGACAGTGACCCACTGTGCTGAGTGCCAAGGAGGTCACCCAAGCTGTAGCTCACCCTGCTGTGGGTGTTGAGGTGTGGAGTTTGACTTATTTAGAGGTCCCCACGATTCCAGGTGACATTCTTGGATTTGCTTTTTATTTTGTGTCTAAGGAGAGGACTTAAGAAAACTTGGGCTCCTAGGATTCATGTACAAGTGCAGTGCATTATGGTTTCCAATGGCATAGTGATTTTGTCCTCACCTCTAAGAAATAAAAATATCTATTTAGCAAAAGGAGACCCAAGCCTGATTTCTTGACAAGGTTGTTAAGCAAGTAGTGATTGAGGAAGAGCAGTGCATAAAAGGAAAAGAAAATCACTAGTTAAAGAACTTACTTGGTGTCCTAGAAAATGTGATTCTACAGCTGGCTCTGCCAAAGTTTTTGTGCAGGAGGCATGCAACTGCAAGCGAAACATAAGAACCTGAGCATCTCTATGCTTGGCATTTTTGTCTGGCATTTACATATTTGTATAAAATACCATATTTAATTCTATATATTTTTATTTTTCTAAACTTTATTTCTACATCTGCCAAATAGAAGCAATAGTATTTTTCAACCTCAAGTGCTTCTCTAGTATTGCAAAGATAAATTCATTATTGTGAACACGATCAGATCTAAGATAGTAAATATACTGACATGAAAATTCCTATATGGTAAGACAATTCCCCTCAAGATTTCAGTATAATAAAGATGAGATAAACACTATATATTGGGTAACAAGGATTAAAAGAAATAGAGAACATTGCCCATCTGCCCCATACACTTCACCAAAAGTATTCACATTCCTTCTGGTGTAACATTATATATAACTTCAGCATTCTTGGCTCCAGTATTTGGATGTGAACTTTCGTGAGATTTTTTTAGGAGCTTGTTATCATGTTGTAAAATTTAGAAATTGTTTTATGTTCATTTGCAATCTCATCTCAGAGGCACTCTTTAGGGTCATTATCTGGGGTTCTGGTGGCCCTTTTTGATGTTTCTTCAAACTGGGAGGTATCTCTTGATTCTGTGCAAAGAGCTCAGGTACAATGTATGACCTTAGTATGTCAAATGGTCAATCACATACCAAATGAGAAAATACTTGTATTATTTTGGCTCATTGACTGCAAATTAATTAAATGTCTCCTGAAAATAAATTTTAATTGGTTTATAAACTGTAAGTTATTATCACTGAACTGGCCCACTCCAGACACAGACATAGCTGCAGTTAAAATAGCAGCTGTATATTTTTAAACCTTACTTGATTTGCTGTCATTATGGTCTAAAAATATTTACCAAAGTGGACAGACTATGGACTGTAATGTGCATTCTTTTCTTACACAGTAGCTTGAACATGATTGAAGTAATCATTTCTGGTTTGTTTGGGTTTTTTTGTTTCCTAACCCAGACCTGGAGAAATTTTGCAAGTTGCAGGGAATCAAGAAGTGTACAAGTTTAGAGAAATGTTTTGTCACCTGACTTATCTGTGTGTCACCTGCCTCTGGATGTTACATATCAAACCTACTGAGGCAAAATTTGTAATCTTTCTGCTGAGTGATTTGAGTTTATAGTTTGTGTACTTGCAATAATACCATCAACTAAACCTTAGCCAACTAAATTATCAATTAAAATACAGAGCTCCTGATTACTGGCATGTCAGAATAGAAGAAGCATTCAAACCCTGATAAATATCAGAAAGAAATTCTCTGTCCCTTCTTTCTGTCCTCTATGTTCACAGATTTGACAATGAGAACAGAGGAATAGATATCTTTTGTCTGAAAAGAACAGCATATACAAGTTAGAGATGAGGTAAACTAAACTAAAAAATGTCTGAATAATGAGGAAGACTGATTCGGCATCTGAATGCTGTGATATGGTCACTTTTCATAAACAAAGCATGTCTTTTCTTTCTCTACACATGATTTGGACAGGGTTTATTTCAGCACACAACAATGTGAAAGCAAGCTTCTCTGCAGAAACTTTGCCATCAGTCCTTTCTGTGTTTTGGAGAACAAGAAGGCCTATGCCTCTAATGTAGGGGGGGTTTTATCAACTATTTCTCCCCAAGAGTTACTTTTGCAGTGGAAAGTATTGTTCACACAGTCATGTTTTTATTGCAGTGTAATGTACCCAGCCTTCCTCTGACCTTATGCAAGTCATGGCTGGGACTATTTTTAGAGATTATATTTGCAGCAAAATGCTACAAGAATGAGAGCAGCAAGGATGCCGCCAGTGTGAAATAAATCCATCTGTATCTCCTGCTTCTCTGAACTGCATAAAAGTAGATGTAACTAAGCAGCCTAAAGCAGGACAGGTGCCACCCCAAACCACATGTATTTAAGGGCTTGGTGTGGCTGAGGCCACCCTGGCTAGCACCCTGGTGTCACCTCTGTGCAGAAGCCAGCATTTCCTAAGGCAAGGCAGGGATGTTATAAAGGGAAGGTTTTATTTTCTGCATTGCTGTCTTGAGCTCTTTCCTTGCAAAGGTGGTGGTACCTTATACTTGAGAGTTCAAGTTTGTCTCTGAGTAAAGGGACCGCCAAGGGTGTGTGTTCCTTTACTCTGCAGGGCCAAGAAGGAATGGGGTTGATTCATTAGGAGGTGTAAGTAGGTATTGATCAGCACTGGAAATTGCAAAAGAACAAAGTTGTGTTGAGCAATTAATGCACATCAAATTTCCAAATGTGAGCGTTGGTATTTAGTGCAGAGACCCACAAGCATTGCCTTTCCCAGACGTCTTTCCTTCTCCAGTGTTGTTCATGGCTTCCACTGCTAGGGTGTAAAGATGTGAAAGATATGAAGTTAAGAGAACACCTTCAAGAAAGACAGAGGAAGTTCTTCACATAGAATCTCTTTCCCTCAGCCTGAGCCCACTTCCTCTGCAGCACACTTCTCCCCATAGCTAGGTCACTTAACCCTGGGTTTGCAAAAGAAAAGCATCTAGGTAAACACTACTTTTCTTGAACTTGTTTTCTTTAACCTAAGAAAAATAATACAAAGTCTAGATTATTTTACTACCAATTCCTGTCTTTTCTCAGAGCCAAGTGAGCATCTACCGGGGCTATGATAGTTCTTACTGCATGAAATGGCAGGGGGGGAAGATCTGTCAAAATTTTTTTCCTATTTTCACATAAAAAAGAAAAGCACCCTGGGTCCTGTTTAAAAACAAAACTCATGTTCTTCCTTATCGTTAGCTTTTTCTTTCAACAAAGATTCACAGTGATTCCAGAACCAGGTGGAATGCAGCTCCTATAGTAAGGAGCAGGAAGTCAAAAGCTGGGAGGTTTTTACTTGCAGCAGGTTTTCTATGGGCCAAGTTACTGATACCAGTTGAAGGTATACAGGGAAGTAGTGACTGAGCAGCCTCTAGTTCTGTAAGCTAACAATTGGAGTGTGAGGGTAAATCAGGAAAGCAGAGTAAAGAAGGCCAAGGAAACTAGCTCTTACCCAGGCTGTTTCCCACACTGGAATAATCCTGAAGATAATCCTCACTCTTGACCTTGGTGGTGTAGAGCAAAGGGAGGTTCACTGTGAAACATTCATGTCTTTGTGGGGAGATGAGAAGAGGCCTAGGCCAAATCTAGAGAGGAAAAAGGAATGTAATTTTTCCTACTCAGTGTTGAGGAAGTGGGATGCTCCTTCACTGTGCCCCTAGCAGTCTTGATTTCAGCAGCCTGGTGAAATGCTGGGACAGAAAACAACTCATACCCTGGCTGCCTGAGCTAAGGAGTAAAGACCTTGTCTGTGTCTGTGCTCTACCAGGCCAGGCTGTACTGTGGGGCTCAGAGGTGATACGTGACTGCATGGAGCTGGCAGTCACTTTCTCACAGCCTCATTCCCACCAGAAGTGCATGTTAACACCTCATGTGTAGAAACCAGCTATGGGCATGGAGGGTCTGTGGCCCTCCTCGTTCCTTCAGACAATAACTCTTGTCTCCTTGTCTTTGCCACACACAGCACCAGGCCCAGAAAGCTCCCCCTGGGCAACACAGGCACTGTGAGCGATGTTTCAGCCGGCACTGCCGCGCACCCATTGAGATCTCCGTGTCCTGCATGGTGATCAGCTGCCGCCTCCATTGCGGGGCCACCTTCCACATGTGCAAGGAGGAGGAGCACAAATTGCTCTGCCCCTTGGAGCAGGTGTCCTGCCTCAACTCAGCCTATGGCTGCCCTTTCTCTATGGCCCGCTTCAAGCTGGGGAAGCACCTCCAGGTCTGTCCAGCCAGTGTTGTCTGCTGCTCAATGGAGTGGAACCGCTGGCCAAACGTGGATTCAGACACAACGCTGCACAAGAATATTATGAAAGAGACCTTGAATGAAGAATGTCTGGACACAGCTTTGGCACTCAGAGACCAGCAGATACTTTTCAGGGCTTTGAAAGTAGCTGAATTATTTCCAGAGTGGAGGAAAAAGGATGAACTGGAAGAACTAATGGATCAAGCCATGGGTGGGGAAGCAGGTGCTGTGGGAGGAGCTGCCTGTGGTTCCCAAGAGGGCAATGACCAGTCTGAGCTCAGCCAACGTGAGCGGGAAGATTTGGCAAAGGACAAAGAGGGAATGGATCTGGGGAGTTACAAAACATGGGAGAACATTTTCAGCAAAGAGCTTCTGGCTTGCCAGGTAACAGGCTCAGCAACCAGCACAGGACAAAAGACAGAGGAGGCTTCCAAGAAAACAGCAGCAGCCTCCCGTGCTGCCAGCTCCACAGAGAAGGCAAAGGAAGGACCTGATGGTGCAGAAGAGGGAAAGGGCCAAAAGTCTGAACAAGTAACACCAAGTAGAGAACTGAATGGACTGGCTCCCTGGCAAGAAGGGGTCCTGGAGAGGCTGAAGAAGGAAGTCGGTGTAGCGGATTACAACATGTATCTGGTCCATCACGGGGGAATGCTCATCCGCTTTGGCCAGATGGCTGCTTGCACTCCCAGAGAAAAAGATTTTGTCTATGGGAACTTGGAAGCCCAGGAGGTGAAGACTGTCTACACCTTCAAAGTGCCAGTTAGTTATTGTGGCAAAAGAGCACGACTAGGAGATGCACTGGGCCACAAGATGCCAACTTCAGACAAGTCAGTGGATACCTCAGAACTGGGAATAAACATAGAAGAACTACCTAAGACAAATATAGTTGAAGCCACACTGCTGTGTGCTCTGGAGAAAGAGCTGAAAGGCCATGAGATCTCTGAAGCAAGAGGTATCGATGGACTCTTTGTGGATTTTGCAACACAGACATACAGCTTTCCTTTGGAGCCCTTCTCCTCCAGCGCAGTTCTAGCAGATATTCTGGATGAAAACAGCCCACCAGAACTGCACATGGAGCTCTACACTGAATGTGTAACCAGAAGACACAACAAAAGCAGTTCAGCTTTCACGTTCACTTGCAGTCATTTCTTTAGGAGGGATGAGTTCCCATTCCACTTCAAGAATGTGCACGCTGATATCCAGTCATGCCTGGACGGATGGTTCCAGCATCGCTGCCCACTGGCCTACTTGGGATGTCCTTTTGTCCAAAATCACTTCCGCCCCGAGGGACTTAAGGCCAAGGTTATTTACAGCAAGCCTCTCAAGACATTTGCCATTAAGCCAGAGGTGGACACCCTTCTTGCTGAACCGGGCAAGTGCAATTTCATAGTGGATAGTCGAGGGAGAAGCAAGGACTTGCTGAGCAGCCTCCCAGTGGAAGTGCTTAAGTACATTGCAGGATTCCTGGACAGCTTCAGTTTATCTCAGCTATCACAAGTGTCAGTGCTCATGAGGGACATCTGTGCCACTCTTCTTCAAGAGAGGGGAATGGTTCTGCTGGTGTGGGAGAAAAAAAGATATTCCCATGGTGGAACTTCTTGGAGAGCTCGCAAAAAGGCAAGTGACTGTGATACTGGGAAAAAGAGTCATGAGTTCTCTTCAGATAAAACATGGGGATGACAAGAAAAGCTGCATATAAATATGCAGATGTGGGGAAGGTTCATGAGGTTGTGAATTTGCATGGAGGTTTGTTGTCAGGGCCCAGGGCTGTAGGGTGCAGTACATCTAACAAAAGGATGAAGGTGTAACTAGGCATTTTCTGAAAGTCCCCACCCAAGCTCATCTTGGGTATCCCATTTGCATGTGCACCATTTCTAGGCACTGAGAACTAAGAATTCCTGATATTTAAGTACTACCATCCCCATTAAAAATGGCAGGTGATAATTAAAGCAGCAAAACCAGCAAGTATGAGGTACACAACAATACAGACCCATTTTCACTTGCTATGCCAGCCCTGCACCATCAGACGTTCATTGCAGTGTCCAGAGTGAGTAATGCACACCCATTGTAAGCATAGACAGGCATTTAAAGTCCTCATTTTCTCTTCCCAATTCCTATCCCCTCTCTTGCATTAGATCTGGCAGTTCAGCAGCCTGTTCTCCAGAGTTCACAACTGGCAGCGCAGCGATGTCCCGAGCATGTCGGAGCACCTGAGGAATTGTCCCTTCTACCAGGCGGAGCACAGGACAGACCCCGTGCTGCTGACGGGCATGAGCGAGTCTCAGGAGCAGACTCGAAAGACTTTGGTCTCTACTTTCAAGCACAGAGTCTGAACAACTTACTTCCCCTCTGCCATGCTCCCTTCAGGGCTCTGAGATGAAGATTTGGGGATTCAGGTGTAAAGATTGTTGCTTCCAGCTCTTCTTTGGACGTACAAAATTGGCTTCTCCCCAGCTGCATTTGAAACCTCTGCATTTTTTTCCCCTACATTAATTTTTTAAAGCTTCGACCACTGCATACTAACTTCACATGCTTTCTGTTTTCTGTTCCTGGTTTAATACAACATCCTGAAGAAAGCAATGAGGATCTTATTTGAAAACAGCATTTTTACATCCTTGAAGGTAGGCTGCTGCTCCTTTACCATGTGCCTGAGATAAGCAAGAGCAGTTAATGTACTTAGCTCAAATAGATCTGAAGCACCTTAGTTTTGTCTGAAAAGCCAAGTTCTCGGAGCACAAGTAGGTGCCCTCCTGCCTGGCAGACCTAGGGACTGCTAACCTGCTCTGAGACGTGGGCAGAAGAAAAGGACACCCCAAAATTACATTAATTAATTAGAACTCCAGTGACAACTTGGGAATTCACTGTGCAGCCACAGACCATCATTTAGGACCCTAAGGCAAGCACACGTAGTTAAGTGCAAGCCTAAGGCTGAGCTCATGGGAGCATTCAAACCAAACCAAAGCAAGCAAACTTGTTCTTTGTTAGAAGTAACCAAGTGGCAAATAATTTCAGAGACTCAATTGACTTTTTATATTTTAAGGTAACAACTTTCTGTGTTTTATCTGAAAATTCATTAAAGCCATTAAAGAATATTTGAAGTCATTTTCAGAGCACCTTACCAACTCAGTTTTACAGATTCTAATTGTAAGCAACTTAAAACAGGATGTCAAAGAAATAATATTCTTTTCTATAAAAGAAAAATAATTCAGTAACCCATTCAGTAACTGTTGTAGTGCATTTTTACATTTTGTAATACTTTGAAGTAGCTTTGTTTTGTGTCCCCATATTTTTCCTAAATGGTTTATCCCAGACTGTACCCCCCTCCCTTTACCTGTGTTATCCCTCTCCCGGGATGAGATCATCCCCAAACCCCCACCCTGGCTCTCTGTCAATCACTCAGCATCCCATCCCCTCCATCCAGAAGTTTTGGTCCAAGTAGTCGAGTGATTAGCCAGAGGCTGGGAGTTTGCCCCCCAAGCCTTGCCCCATACGCTGTCCTATATGTCTATCCCCCAGTACCCATCCCTTAGAGTTACTTATTGGTTGGTAAAGTGTTATCTACTTTTGGTTTCCACCTCCCTTTAAATGTGACCTTGGCACATCTCCCGGGGCGCTCTCGCCAGGAGGCCCCTGAGGTGCAGGAGCTCCTTTGGGATCCTAATAAAACCTTGGATTAACCCCTGCTAAGGGTCGGCCCTTTATCTTCTATCGATGTCTCTGATGTCTCTTGTGCGGCAAAGGCGACCAGCCCAGGTGCCCTCAGCACCCTTGGGGCACAGAGAGTGTCTCCCTGCCAGCCCAGGTGCCCTCAGCACCCTCGGGGCACACACAGACAGTGTCTCCCTGCCAGCCCAGGTGCCCTCAGCACCCTCGGGGCACACACAGACAGTGTCTCCCCGCTGTTGGCCGTGTCGGGGCTGCTCCCCCCGGTGTCTGCCGACTCAGGACTGGCCCAGGGCTCCTGAGAGGCTCGCAGAGAGACCGAGACAAGTAACTGTATGGATAATGTTTGCTTCAGTTGAATGGTCTGGAGCATAGAATCTTTTTTTACAGAGCAGAAGACTGGTTAGGATTTGGTTTATCTTTTCATAAATACAATAACCAAAACCAGAATGGGCTTGCTGAGGCAACGGATGAGAGGGAACAGACATGTTACCAGCAGTGTCTGTCTCATTATACTGCTTGAAATCATTCCAGTGGTGCTAGTCAGAAATGCCATGGATGTGATGGTGGGTGAGATTCCTCTGAAACAGCTGTAAATTTGTCAGCTTAGGACAGTTTACAGCCACTGCACAGCCACAGGGTGCTGACTCACCCCCTTTCTTTTTTAAGTTCTTAGCCAGAAGTGTGAGCTCAGGACTGAGGTCTGTCTTTCATCCCTCTGTCTCAGGCAGGAGAACCTTGCTGGGAACTGGGATATTTGCTGGCCTGGAGCACTGCTCTTCTCACCTGTGCTGGCCAGGTGCAAGCTGGCTCAGGCAGATGGAGGATATGTGCTGCCCTTGCCATCCTTGACCTCACTGCAGATGTGAGATGAGGTGGCCATGCAAGAAGGAGCCCTCTCTTATCCAGAGAGGTTTCTGATGCACCTGAGCTGAGTGCTTGGTAACCAAAGGCATGAATTGCATGGTGACCCAAACCACCCTGAGTACAGCTCAGCCTTGCCTACACTTGCAGCTTAAGTGGTCTCTGTGAGATTTTTAACCATATGAGGATGTTTTTCATCTCCAGACACACACCCTCAGGGGCATACAGTCTGAGCTGTGAGGACAGTGGAATGGTCCCAGGAACAGGAAAAGCAGCACTTCTTTTTCTTTTTATTTTTATTTTTCTTTTTCTTTTTCTTTTTTCTCTTTTTCTTTTTCTTTTTTCTTCTTTTCTTTTATGCTACTTTATTTTCTGCCCCTAGAGATCCTTTCTGGGAAGTCTCACAATGCTTTAGACATGAAAATTAACTTCTCTGCACAGGTATCCTGCAGAAAACACAAGTAGCATCCCAGGTTTATAAAGAGGAAATGGAAGGAAATGAGCACAGGGAACCTAAGCTGGGCCAGGAGCAGTTAGAACCACTCTGATCCTTCATCCTGAGGCTTAAGCCACTGCACAAAAACAAACTGTCCATCCTTTAAAACTGCTTACAAAAACTCATGTGTCCTCAAAACATTCCATAACATGAGCTGCCCAATATTATCTCCTTGTTTCACCCAGCAAAGTTGACAGATGTGAAAACATACAGCCAGAATTCCTAACTTCCTAGGTCTCTTGGAATACCTAAGAGACCTAGAATTCCTAGGTCTCTACATCAGGGACTCATTCTTCACTTACCATGTATCTGATTTTGAAGGATGCTGAGCACCCAACTGTAGCTGCAGACCACAATATCTGCAAATGCATGTCCAAAAAATTGGGTGCCAGAATCTATGCTGGGTGTGTGAAAATGGAGCCACTTACTTTTATGGATAATTTGGGGAGGGTGGAAAAAAAGATTGCTTAAATAATAAGGTCTCAGAGTAAGTCAGTGTTCAAGGCTGGCAGGAGGCGATGAAAAATTTCAGCCTGTGAACAATCTCTCACATGATCAGCCACTTTAGCTGCTGTAAAGTGCTGTGGCTGCCCTGAAATTTTGGCCTATGTTAGGTGTGAATTTGGCTCATTTTACCTTTAGTGCCAGTGTCACCAGCACCACTGCCATTCTGCTCCTGGCTGCCTTCTGTCAGTTCCAGAAGATTTTGTTCTTGCCACTCCCTGCTCCTGGAGATGGCACAACTTCAGTTCCAGCCTTATTAAAATGGATTCTGCTTATTCCCTCCATAGGGAATGCCTGAGTCAGACTTCAGGGGGATGCAACCTTTGGAAATATGATTGTTGAGGTCAGAGTTAGGAATACTGCAACCCTTACCTTGTGGGATCAGCCAGGGTGTGCATAGAACATCCAGGAGACTGGATCATTTCCCTTCTGGCTCATTTCCCTTCTTCCCTACAGGGCATGCTGGAGAGACACAGAGTGTTCATTCATAGAGAGACATATTTGCTCCTGTGAATATATAGGTGTATTTCTGAAAAACTGTAAATTTGATTAGGTAACCTTCAGCATATCCAGTCAAAGCTGAAAGTCCACAGCCAAAATCTTCAGGTTAGTCTGGTCAGCCTGATCCGGGAGAAGGAAAGCTGTACAGGGACGGGAAGTTCACCCTTGCATTTCTGCATACTCACCTGGCCAATGTCAGCAGGGAGCTGCTTCTCACTTCATCCCAGCCTTACCAGGGGTGGAGAGCTCTGGGCTGGTGTCAGATGCAGTTTTATTAATCTCAGGGTCATGCCAAGCTAGCTCAGTGTTGGTGGTCCTGCCATTAGCAGAGTCAGTAGAAGATTTAGGAGCTGGAGGGAACTGAATTTTCCTGCACTGTGTGTCTTGGTGAGCACAATGCTGGCTTATTTAAAAGGTGAGAGGCTTTGGTTTGGGTTCAGCAAGTCCTTAGCTGCTGGTTTGAGTCTGTAATTTGGCAAAGAAAACTTTGGTTAAATCTCAGCTTGAGTAATTTGATTAGAAGAAACTGATCATGTGGTGTCTTTCAAAATAGTCTATTGTTTTGGCAGGGTCTGAACTGGAAAAGGGGATCCAATTCCAGCAGAGCATTGAGGTTGCTCTCAGTCCAGCCCCCACACTCTGGATCTTCATGACTTTGATCTTGTTTGTGCTGTCCTCAAGTCCTGTGAAGTGCAAGAGCAATACTCCACACATTCCAGGCTGATGTGTCTTGCAGTGTTTCCTCTCACTGGAAAAGTGGAAGTGAAATGAAGGCATCGTGGAAATCAGAAAGGTCAGAGCAGGGCAAAAAAACTCATGACAAGAGAAGACAGGAACCAGAAAAGGTAACGGGTTTGGATAGAGAGACCTGCCTCTTTGTAGGTGGTGTGAGGAGGGGCAAGAGGAGACAGGTGAAAGGGCACAGGAATGAAAGGGGTTGGGATGTGCTGCCAAAACCAGAGATTTTCTGGATAGAAGGATTTCCTTGAGAAAGACTCTGTAAGTTCCCAACTGGTGCTATACAGTAACATGGGGCAGAAGATAATTTTTAAGGGGTGAAAGGGCAAGTGACCTGCTGACATGTATCCTAAGTCTGTGTTGAGGGAAGGAATTTTTTGATGGACCTCCAACTCCCAAAACTGAGAGAGCACAGATAAGGTGAAGTTTATCTGAACAGTGCCTGTCATTTTGTGAAACTCTGTAACTCCTTGTTGCATTCTTAGGAATAAAAATTATTATGGTATTAAAATATCCATTCAAATTCAGGTCCTAGATTGTTTTCTTGACTTCATCACATAAATGTATGTT